ATGTATAAAATATTAATAAAAACAAGAGATATTTATAGACATCACAAGTAAAAATAAAATTAATTAAAAATAAAGTTATGTTGTGAAGTAGTAGTAGATAGAAAAAATCATCGGTCCCGTAACATTAGAACCTATTAAAAAACTTTGGTATTTTCTTACTACAGTGACATTACAGTTTGATTTTTTTGCTGACTGATCTAATCATTGAAATAGCTCAGAAATATTGTAGCGGGAACGAGGATTTTTTCTATCAGACTATTCTAATTGATTTTTACGGCAAACTTGCTTAAATAAAGGAATTAATTTTATTGATGAAAAAGTTAATGAAAAGATAAATTATTTATTACCTGGTACGGCGAAAGAGCGTACATATTAGATTCTTCACTCATAACATCGATTAGCTTATCGTCAGCATGTTTGTTAGTGTTATTAAATAAATCTGGATCAATAAGTCGTATTATTGGATATGTTATAAGGGCTGGACCAATATCATCTGCAAACGAATTATTGGCAGAAATTCGGAAATCAATTCCAATGGGCATATTTAAAGAAGTTCCATCCGTAAAACCAATATCAGGATCATAGTAAAAAAAAACTATCGCAGATGAATCAGTGACGTTATCTAATTTATCATTGCAAGAGGTGGTGGCGCCAGTAGCTACAAAAAGTTAAATAAAATAATTAAATGAATAAGAAAATTGAAACGAGTGTTAAATTATTAAATAACTTACCAAGTACGTAAGAACAATTAATATTATAATTAGAATAAACCGCTGAATTGAATCTAATAAAGACAACTGTTAAATCATAGTCAAAAAATTAGTAAAATAGCATCGTACTATTAAGACTAACTAGTTGAAAATTAAAACTTTACCAGGAACTGGTATACTATTAGCTTGTGATCGGGACATTTGTATAAAGGGTTTGTCAAGAAAACTCAAAATGAAAATAGTAATGAAATACAGAATCAAAATATAAACGAGGCAAAGAGAAAATAATCTAGTCCAACGATAACATGTCGGTTCTCTAGGCTGTTCATAATCCTTATAGTCATCATCTACAGATGGAAACCAATAAGCGATAAATTTGTTACATAAAAGACTACAAGCTCTTTTTTCTTGTTCCATCTTTGTTCTTTTAACGAATTATTTAAGATTGAAATATTAACGTAAGAAAATATGGATTTACCTTAAAAAATCACAAGCAGGGGTTTTTATAGAAAATACCCCGATCACTATATCAAGATCACGGGATATTTAGTAAAAATACCCTGATCCGTATGTGCATAAGCGGAAACTTCGTTTTCGCTAATACCCAACTACTCAGGATATTTTTATTACGTATATCGATATTGTTTATCATATTCGAATTCATGTAAAAATAGTAGATTGTAGATCATTTTGTGTAACCAAACATCATGGCCAATCAGAATTAGTAATTATTTGTACTACCAGGGGAAAACATAGCGTCCAGGGAAATTAACAGGAGAAACCGTCCAAATATAGATATGATTTTCATCCTCCGTTACACGAATTACTCATTGTATCGACCAGTCAAAATATCATTACGGGATTAGTCAACAAATCAAATTGCGAAATTTACAAAAAACGAAACCATGGGATTCAAGGGGATTCAAAAAATATGTAAAGCAAAGTGAGAGCTTCATGTTTATTTAACCATTTTCAATATTCATAGAAAAGATAAGTCAAGCGAGCCTTCCAAAAAAGTATTGTAAAATAATATTAAAAAAAAATTCATCAATTGTGTAACGATTTTGGACGTATCAACGGTTCCTCCTGTTAGGGAAATTTTAGCTATATGTGAAGATAATTTTTTTTAAAGCAATATATATTGTATAGCTTCATTATTATTGGTAAAGATGTTAAAAAGTTTTTTTTTTTATTTACTTATATTGTATTTTATTAAATTAGCTTTAGCGTTAGGGTTATCTTGATTAAGGCTAGGGCAGGTTTTAGATAGTTATATACGCAAATTTGCCCTCCCGTCATTTTTACTTAACCCACCCAAGGTAGGTTTGGACTGTTGTTTTTGTATTTTTCAAGTTTTTCGCTTTTTTCTTGTTTTGCTTCGCCGGCGATCGTTGAAATTCTATAATTTGATAGGTCGTAGATTACGTGATCCTGCTCCGCTTTAGACGACCCCGATTTTAATACGAAAGCCACAAGTTTGCTTAATAACTTAAGTCACGTTTCATAATGCAAATAAGCCACAATGGTCTCACGAAAAGAATATTGTAAACTGTATAAATAATCTAACGTTTTCCCGATTATTTCCTAATTTGGGACTGCCTCCCTGGACGTACACCCTGTGTAAGCATTATCTACGGGTCGGAAATTTTTAATAAAAAAGCTCGTTTATAATTGTGAAACATAAATTTGCCAAATTTGGGTTGTGAAGCAAAAATGATTTTCTGCTTCACGAAATTGATTGCGTTTTATATATTATATGCTCTTGCTAGTCTCTTGCTCTTGCTCGAAGAGAGCAGCGCATAGCTAAATGCAGAGCAGTAAAAAAAAAAAATCACAGACATGCAAATTTTTTTATTTTTGTGTAAAAATTAATTGGTTTATCATAAATATATCATATATATATTTGTCAATTTTCTCATTTCTGTTCAGACCTAATGAATTGATAATCAAGAATGAAAAAGATCATAGCGAAGGATTTGATGATAATTTCTAAATATATTTATGTGCCGTCTTTTCCTAAAAGTTACCTTTTTGATGTCTATTACGTTTAATCCAAGTTATATATATAACCTGGCAGCACTTAATGTTGTCACAAATGTTTATTCATTTTTCATAGTATACAGTACCATAAAAAATCTGCTTTGTCATGTTTATAGAAATTTATAGAGATGATTCATGTCATATTAATATAGGCTAGTCTATTAATAAGGGACAGCGAGAGGGATAAAGATTTTGGAGATAAGACGTGACACTTTGATCAGCTAGTAGAACCTGCATAGAATAGAAGTGATAAAAAGACCAGAGATAAGGCGTGGTGTTGAATAAGCATTTTGATCGAAAATATATAGAAGCTACCGCATTAAATAGGAGAGAAATAAAGATATGGCGATAAGGTCTGTTTAATTTTTATTACCTGTATTATCAAACGTGCAAGCTGGTGAAAACTAGATTTTTTATATCCGATCTACATAAATTTAGCTCTGCCAGCCTCTGATGATCCTGCAATATTGTATTTCATTCCCATTGTCATGGCCATAACCAAAATACAGTATAATTAGTGCGTGATATCTGTAGTATACCACGTACTAAAGGAATAGAAAAGAAAAAAGCTTTTAGTCATTACTGTAAATGTTGAAGTGATTAAAGTAGTGTGATAAATCAATATATAGAAACAAAATAAATGGTTTTCATCCAAAAAGATCGATTAAATAAATTATCTACATATCGCCAAGAGCTGCATGATTGCCAGGTATAATAAGTACGTACAGTACGTACCTTTTCATTTGGATAGATTTTTTATTATCAGGGCAATACGTAAACTACAGGTTTAAGCCATCTACTTCAACAATAATATTAACGTTAATATTACGGTTACTACAGAATGGCTATGTCTGATGATCTTTACGCACGTACTTTTCTATCTGATATAGATCAACACACAAAATCGGGTCATCACTATTGCTACACTTGCTTGCCTGTATGACGTACGTACGTACGATAAATCCAGAAAACCCTTAATATGATAACGATTTTTATAATTACGACATCAGATGTACAGTATATAATTTTATCCAATCAGAATCAAGATTTTGTGTACGAAAATAACTGCTTCAACTTCACTATAGCGATAGTATTATTAATTAGTTTCATCCAATTTAATTTTATTTAAAATAGGGTAATGATTTGAATATGCTTATCAAAATTTAAATACATTTCAAATCAATAAAAATATTTTTAATTTTATTTTAGTCCGTGAGTGCAAAGAATATTAAGTATTTAAACATATTATGAAATTCATGAATATTTACTGTGAATTTTACTTTAAATTGTGAATATATAGTAAGAGGGGTTTGTTAATTTATTTAGATAAGCTACATAATTTCATTTATTAATTATTAGTAAGTGAATATAGAGAATGTCGGTTCAGCTCACTTCACCGACGCTCGTTTCGTAGAAATAACATTTCACCGACAACAATTCACCGACATGTTATTTCACCGACATTATTTTCCATTTCACCGACAGTTTATTTCACCGAAACTTATTTCACCGACAAAATAATTCAGGTCATTGTCGTTAAGGTCAGGTTAGAATTAGAATTAAGATTAGTGGAATTTATAAAAAAAATTGTCTACGAAATGAGCTTCTGTGAAATAAATTGTCGGTGAAATAAACTTGTCTGCGAAATAAGTGTCGGTGAAATAAACATGTCGGTGAATTTTTGTCGGTGAAATGTTATGTCTACGAAACGAGCGTCGGTGAAGCGATACGTATCCGAGAATGTTTATCGATCTAAGTATTCAATAAACCATTCAAGTTTATGAACAATTACTATTTACATTTTATTTTAGATTGTGAATATAAAGAATATTAAGCTATTCAAGTTTATGAATATTGTTTCTTTTTATTCATGGTAATTTAATGTGTGAGTATAAAGAATATTTTATTAATATAAGTATTTAAAATAAGTGATAATTAGTACATGTGCATAGAAAACATTTTAATCTAAGAATTTAAAATAAGTAATCAAGTTCAAGAATATTTACACATGTAAAATATAAGAATATTTATTGTATAAAATAAATAAAATTCCCAAATTTTTATCATTTAATTTCATATTATGTCGTGTTAATTAGTTTGTAAGTATTAAAAACATTTCTCATGCAAATAGGTTATTTAAGTTTATAAATATATATTATCTATTTAATCATATTGTATTGAGTTGCATTAATTTAGCAACATCAGGAAAATTTAAACCCTGATTATAATCAGTTGCAAGCAGTTAATCGATTGTAATCAATTAATTTAAACGATTTTTTTTGGTGGGGGTGATAAGAATAATTGATTTATTGCGCTTTGCAAAAAGATGTGATCTCTGCAGATCACAATGTCGTGTGAAAATCGGAGATTCTGTAGATTTTAAGAATCTACCAATTTCAAATACCGGTAAATATTATAGCGGTTTGCAAAAAGGGGTGACCTCTGCAGATCATAATGTCATGTAAAATCATGAGAAATCAGCCGATTCTAGTAGATTTTTCGATTCTTAGAGAATTTTTAAAGATTTTGAATAACATATAAACGTTATTGATCGAAAATTATGATCAATAGGGAATTATAGCGCTTTGCAAAAAGATGGGACCTCATGATTTTTGTGATGAAAGAGGAAAATTTCCGATATTCTAGATTGTCTATTAATTCATATTTTCGATCAGTTATATTTATATTTATTTGAAATCGATAAGATTCTTAAAAT